ACCCACTACAATTTTGGGATGCACCTAGTAGCATGACATTTGTTAGGAATGAAGACGTCTGAGTTGTGGTTCATTTGTGCGTGCGGGGGTCATTATGTTACTGCAATGCTGTGTCTAGTTATGTATAATTGGTCTTTATTTTTGTTGTTTGATTAACAGATGGACCTGTTTCGTTACCCAACATGCCAAACCAAATCATGAATCGCATGCAGGTTTCACAAGGTGCACATTTCATGTTGTGACATATCTGTTTATTCACATAAAGTGTCCAGACTGAATTACATGAAGAGTAAAAATACTAACTGCATTCTTTGCTTTATACACTAGAATACTTAAGTATCTGTTGTGTTAATGTTTTTCTGCTGGTAATTTTTACGTTATTGTTTTGTACAGGAATGAACCAGTTCAGCCACATGACTCTTCCCAACGCTCAGATGTCTCAGACACCAATGGGAGCCCGAGCTGCTTCTCCTATGAACCATCCACAGCAAATGAACATCAGCTCTGTCCCGGCGGTAAGAAAACCACAGGAGCTTTGGTAATCTCAGACACCTTTGATATGACAGCTTTATTAATGGGTCATAATTCACTGAAAGGTGGTTGTAAGATTTTTAAGATAATCCAGATGTGGGTTAGTTTTTCAGTATTTTTTTATTTTTCTGATTTGTTTGGATAACACTTGCCAACTTGCTGGTATTTCTGCCTTGTAGGTGGGAATGTCTCCCTCTAGAATGCCTCAGGCACAGGGACTGATTCCTGGGCACAGCAACCTGGTGGCCCAAACGGCTAACCAGGGCCAGTTCATGCCTCAGACCCAGTTTCCTCCCGGATCGGGTGCAGTTGCTCCTTCGAACACCATGAATGTCACGGTGGGGCCCAGCATGGGCCAGCCCCCGGCCCAGGCTGCTGTCAGCCAGGTGAGATATGGAGAAAGATGAGGGGTGTGGAGTTGTTGTAAACTGATCTGGTTTGGCTGTTTTCATGGACACTTGCTGCAAAATCATGCTGGTTCCAAAGTGTTGGCAGGAAACTACGATGTACAAACATTAACCAATCATACAACAAACTAATAGCTCTTTAATTGATCATACCAATCACAATGTGCTCTCTAAACCCTAAATTATTTGTGGTGGTGTCTGACTTTTTTTATTCTTTTAACTGTATGTTTGTCTGCTTACTTTGTGTATGTCCGCCTGCTCTTTGTGTTTATCCTTCTCTCCAGCAGCAGCAACAGAACGCTAACCTTCCCATGAATGCACTCGGGTCCCAGCTGGGCCCTCAGCTAGCCTCCTCCCAAAACCCCTTACACTCCACGCCACCTCCTACAACCTCCTCTGCCTCCACGGCTGGGGGGGCCACTAACCTGCCGCACACCCAGTCCTCCAGTCGCAGCTCCACCCCCACCCTCCCTGGCCCTGTCCCAGCCCCAACCCAGGTTGCCTCCTCACCCCGCCCCACTCAACCCCAATCCCAGGTGGAGCTCCCTGCAGTGGCACAGACGCAGCCCCCACCTCCGCCCCCGTCCACACCGGTGAGACTGAGTCCCTCGCATGTCCTCCATTTTGACATCTCCCTCCACTTTGCCTTCTCCCATGCAAACTCCCATTCCTGTGATTGCCGTGCACCAGTCCCATCCCATTCACACCCACCTTTCTAATAACTGCATCTTCCCCACTGTTTGTATCCTCCATCACTATGGGAATGTCACATTTTTCACACTAAGGGAGATCCAGTTACTAAAGGTAGCATGCATTTGTGTCACTCCTGCAGCCCTGCATGCTAAATGAACACACAAAAGAACACCTTTGTGGGACTGCTGGCAAATACCTTGCTTTTAATGCTGTCGTCTCCCATCTTTTCCTCTTTTATGTTTTAGCTTTCTCAACCTGGAGCCAGTTTGGAAAACCGGGTGCCCACTCCTGCCTCAGCCGCCAGTGCTGACCAGCACCTGCAGCATGTTGGGACGGAGGTTAAAACAGAAACACACACTGACCAACAGGAATTTGAGGCTGCTGGTGGGAAGTTTGAGCCCAAGATGGAGGTAGGTTTGAGCTGCAAAATGAAGTAACGCCTGTGTCTATTCTACTCAACTGGACACTTACTCATGCCTAAAATTAACTTTTAACATGCAAATTGCTTTGTTATTACAGACATTTATTAATTTAAGCTTTTTGGATTGTTTTAAAATGTGTTAAAATGTTCAAATCCTCCTAATCTTCGGTCCATGATGATAGTTTGTTCTTTTGTCTACAGATTAAGGATGAGTCCACCACAGTTTTATTAAAGAAAGAGGAGCCGGAGGAAAAACCAGAACCAATGGAGTCGGACGAAAAAAAGCCAGAAATGAAGGCAGAACCCAAAGAAGAGGAGGAGGGTGGATCTAATAGTACAACCTCCCCATCCCCCTCTCAGTCACGGCGGAAAAGTGAGTGTGATGCTAAGTGATTAAACAAATTTAAGGGATTTATAAGCTATCTGCTACTACAAAATGTTGCATTTAATTTTTTATTAGCTCATGCATTTGTCTATGCTAAGATAAGATAAGATAGACCTTTATTGTCATCGTGCAGAGCACAATGAAATTACAGTTCAGAACTCCCATTCACAAGAAGACAGAACATAACAAACGTAGGAGAACAGGTGCCCAGGGTCATGCAGCCACAGATCCCACAGATCCCACAGATGTTCTGATTATAGCTGGAGGAAACTTTTTGGGGAAGTTTTTTGAAGACAAAAAGTTCTTTTGAAGAGTTTGCCACTTTACAGAGGCCCTTCTTTTCATTAACAGTGTGGTAAACAAGACAAGAAAGACTAAAAAGAAAGCCCTAATTTAAAAAAAAGCAACCATCTTAATTTTTATTAGGATTGTTAATGCTCCTACTTCAGTAACCTTGTTTCCATCAAGGCTTTTTGATGCGCATTTAGAAGTGTCGCATTAAAAATGCGAAAAGAAGTCGGATGGAAACAGCAAAATTCGAAAAAAAAAAATAATTCGCTAAAAAGTTTTTATGCTCGCTTGAGGTGGTTTTGGATGATTCGCAAAGTAGTTAATGCGCATAACGGGAGATGGACACACGTTTGCCGAATAAATTCTGACGAAGCGCATATTTACCTCACTATTCAGCTGTTTCTGCTTTCCTGCCTCATCCCGGATGTTATCATAAACGCGTTTATTTCCCTACGTCTTCCTGGCAGCATTAAACATAGCCTGTACTAGCTGAATAGATAGAATAATTACA